CCCCAAAACCCCAAAACCCCAAAACCCCAAAACCCCATCTTTAAGATATTAATGATAGCTAATGATTAAAATGATTAAATTCTTTTAAAGCTCTCTTATATTAAAGGCTCAATATTCTATTTCTCTAATCTTAGGCTTAACAACATGGCGCATAGAAGCTCCTGGCTCGCTGGGCATAAATGGTGAGAATATACCATAAGGCTTGGGAATTTCTAAAATAGAGAGCAAGTAAATAATATTAATTAAACTTACGAATGTCTGATGGCATATAAGAATTGGGTCTTGGTAAAGCAGTAGTCTTGACTCCAGTGGGTGGTAATTACTGCTCTAAGAGTTTTCTTTGAGCTCTTTCTTCTTTGTCTGTTTGCTCTCTATATCTATTTCTTTCAATTTTCTCCCATTCTTGATCGCAAGTGTCAGTGGGAGGGAGTCCTGAGTCAATTCTTCTCATTGCTTCCTCAATCACGCCTTCCTTTTCTTCCTTTTCTTATTAAAGCTTAAGTGCCTTTGACTGGAACATAGATAACTCAGAGACCGTGGCAAGCATTTTCCTTGACAAGTCAGTTGTTCTAGCCTTATACTCGTTAATCTTTTCAGCAATTTCAAGAGTACCTTTTCTACCGTCTAGTGCTTAGGTTCTTAGTTTCTCAGCTAGATTGCTAACTTCTTCATATACTAATTCTTTTTCTAGAAGACTTTCCTTTTTATTGTTTAGTCTCTCTTCGAGTACTTAAATCTTAGCTTATAGGGCTTCTTGATCTGGATCTTCTCCTCCAAGATCTCTCCATTTTGGATGCTTGCCCGGATTCTCAAGCATCTCAGAGAGTTACTCAACTTTTTCTCTTTCCTTATCAAGTTTCTTTTTCAAATCTATAACACTTTCGGCAAGTTAAGGCACTTCAGGAATTTGTTTTCTAACTACCTCAAGCTATCTTTGTCTTTCCTTCAGTTCAAGGTTAATCATACGAATCTCTTCCTCCTTCTATCTTATTTATTGCTCTCCATCCTTGAGAATATTCTCTTGAATATTTGATTTTTCATATAGTATACATAACTCATCATTCCTATCAATCAACTAAATACCCATGTAATTTCTAGACTCACAAGCCATTTCATATTTATAGATCAAATCATTCATTTCCTTTTAGAGACTGTTGATGATCAAGTTCAACTTATCTCCCTCATTGATTTTTTGTCCAATAATGCTTTACTTGCTTTTGTAAACGAAGTCTTTCTTATTGAGTTCTGCTCTCAATGAATCTCTCTTGTAGATTTCTTTTTGCACTTAATGCTTGATATCTACAAGGGCTCTGTCCTTCTCACTTGACTCATTTCTCAGAATTTCCACCTCATTTTGAAGAATCTTGATTCTCTCCTTCATTTCAGCTAGATCTTAAGAGGAGTTTTGGATCTAAGAGACATATTTGTTTCTTGCATTCTTTACCTCCTCATATAAAGCAATGAAAGAATTAAGTCTGAACTCAGTCTCTTGCTACTTTTTAGTCAAATCAAGAATTAATAACTCCTTCACCTTGAGTTCTTCTTTTGTTTCTCTGGCTTAAGCCATAGCTTAAGAAGCAGTTCTGGCCATTTTTTCTCTGATTGTAGACAAGAACTTGATTTCCTCAACCCACTTATTCTCTTCCTCCTAAAATTATTGAACTTATTTCTCATGCTAAAGAATATCTGATCTGATTTTGACAATCTTTGCTTGCATGTTTTTCTCTTCTAGACCTTTCTTAACTAGTTAACCAACAAATATTTGTTGCTCCTCCTCTAGATTCTTTTTATATATAAGCAACTGCTCAGCTTCTTTTTTCTTTTCATCTAAGAACTTATGAGTATTTGCTATCTGAGTTTCTAGTTCTTTAATATTATTAATTAGATTATTATTTTCATATTCAATTTTCTTGTAAAGTTTCTTCTCATCATCGATTCTTTTGTTATAATGATTGATCTTTTCTTATTGTCTCTTCTTATTACTCTCCATAACCTTGATCTGAGTATCAAGAAGTACTCTCTCTTCAGTGATATTGAGGATGTCTTTATCAATACTTTGAGAGAGTTCCCTAAGTCTCTTAATGTTTGTATCTAGTTCCTTAATTCTAGCATCTTTATCAGTTTATTCTTTCTTGAACTGAATAGTTGATTCATCGTACTGCTTTTTAGCTTTTGTCTCAGCCTCAATACACAAATCTTGGGTCTTTATGTTCCCAACTGCAGAATCATAATCAGTTCTTAAATGATCAACTGCCTTCTTTAGGTTTTCATTTACTTTTCCGAGTCTGTTTGGCTCATCTCTCTCCTTCAGGAATTCCTGCTGAAGTGACTCGATCTTATCCTTGAACTCCTCCTTTTCCTTGTCCATTTGATTAAGTTTTTCTTCAATTTCTTGGTTTGTTTTATCTTCCTTTTGAATTCTAACATCATTTTAAGCAATTTCTTAAGTAATTTCAGCAATCGCTGCTTCTATTTTCTGCATCTCTGGGATGATTCTTTCTCTCTCTTGAGTTTACTTTTGGATAATATCCCCTTCAAGATCCTGCTTTTCATTCTCCAATTGATGGATCTCTTATCTCAAGACCTATCTTCTCTCTTCAATAGTTTCTATTGTCCTTCTCACATCATTGATTGTGTTATTAAGCTCCTTTAAGGTCTCTTCATTTTATTTCTATTGCTATTGAGCTTTTTCAAGTTTCAACACTTCATTTTGAAGTTCCTAAGATATAAGTTAATCATTATTGCTATTGCATGTATGGACATACTTTTTGTAAAGTTCTTGCACGCTTCATAAGTTACTGTTCATTCTCCATATTAGTGACTAAGACCTCATGTAACTGATAGAATTTTTGACGATATACCTCAGCACTAATAAAATAAGAATAAGTATATCAAATTAGATATAATAGGGAGTAATAAATAGTTGAGAATCTCCTCAATTAGCTTGAATACTTACGCATCTTATGAGAGCTGGCCATGCTTAGTTAGATCCTAGAGGATAGTAAAAGCCTCTGTGTTTTGAATATTTTTAATGTCTCCGTCGTTGCTTGCCATTATTGTTATTTATTTCAAATATAATTCTTACTTTAAATCTTAATTTTATTGCTATATATTCATTCTGGGGTTTTGGGGTTTTGGGGTTTTGGGG